ATTTCACTTATTTTAGGACGCTATCAAGAGGGGGTCGTAGTTGCCTACTGAGAGATAAAATTGGAGGGGGTAATGTTTTTCGTTTTTCTGAAAATTTTCCCCAGCGGCAAGACGTGCCCTGGAAAAAATAATAAACCGAAACCGTAAAAAAGGGAGGGAGAGGGTCGTTCCACGCCCTCAGAGTCTTCATTCTCTCAAACAACTATGATAAGTTTACCGGTTCCAGAGGAAGGACGAGCTCGATTAGTCTCGGGATCTTTATCCTCGCAGTCCTCGCAGACAAGCCTGGTGCAATTAGACTGTTGCAATACACCGCTCGAAGTAACGAGGCGGTAAGTTTTCCCAAAAAGCTAATTCGAGACATTGCCCCGGAATCATGCAGCCGACATTTCAGGATAATGATGTCCCTGACACACTTCATAGTCAGGACTGGAAAAAGTCTACTTTCATGAAAGAGATGTCGAAAGGCTGTTTTATTATGTGGGGTTTCTGCACCCGCCCCCCCCCCCCCTTTCCAACAAAGTAATAAAAACAGCCTTTCCACTTCTCTCTCATGAAAGCATAATCCTGAGACAATTGCTCCGGACGTCGTGAAATCGAGGAGCAAGAAAAAAAAAACAGGGAAAAGACAAGAAAAACGAGCAATTTAATTAAGGCGTACAGCTTGAATGTGGAAAAGCTCTCACGGGAAAAGCTTATTTCTAATTCCAGTGGGCTATTTCGTTTCTGCCAAGAAGAAATTGAAGGAGTACGAGACAGGTAAGAAAAGCATGAGGTAAACATAAGCAATAAAGTGGGGAATAGAATTCTTTCAGCTTGAAGGTTGTGCAAAATGATTTCCCCATGGAACATACACTCCATATCCACGAGATGAGGAGGGCGTGGCTGTGTACTTCATATATGCGGAACAATGGCTGCGCTTTTTTTCAACGTATTTGTTGTAGGACAGGTGTAACCATGCCTTGTCTTGCACAAAACAAGATGGTATGTACTTGTCTCGGAAGCGGAAATATCCTCGAAACAAATGCATATAGGCCCAGCCACGCCCTTCCCACCCATGGGATGAAGAGTATAGCCAGAGAAGTGAGCATTTATTGAATTCTCGAACCAAAGGTTCTTTATTCTAACCCCAGCACCACAAAAAAATTTTCAATCCAAAGAGCACTTTGGGATTTCGTAACAACAGAAAAAGAACAATTTTTCATAAGAACTGCTGAACGCTCCATAATCGGGTTGGATTTCCAGTTACGGCAGGGAAATGCTCTATTGCGGCTTTCCAATTGAGACTTCTCGTTCATTACACAGACCAGTCATAAACTGGAGGAAATTCCCAAGATATTGAAAAACAGAGCAATGCTGGCCGCATGTACACAGATAAAAAGCAGTGTGGAGCAATTTTCTAGATGAGCCCACGCTTGCTGCCTGTAATGGCAGCTCATGGGGCTAGACACAGCGGAGATAATTTTTCGGGTATGCCTGGCTTTCACAAGTTGGCCCACAACTTACAAATTAATAGCTGCTTCCGTTTAATTGCACTCCATAACGCGAAGACAGGAAGGGCGTGGCTGCGTACTCGCTTCGAACGTAGCGCGTTATGCGTTTCTCGTGAAGCTATTTCATTCAAGATGACTGCTATCCTGTCGTATGCTGGACAGAGACTCGATTCCAATTGTCCCAAGAAATTTTATCTCACCAAAAGCGCAGCGCTCAATTGACGCAGCCACGCCTCCCCTCCCAGATGTAGAGTGCGTGCTTCAAGTGAAGACTACTGCTCTCCCGCAAATCCTAGGTGGATTAAATAATAAGCAATTTCATACATTTCTAGTAAACTAGACGATCTTATAGAAGCTAGAAGGGTGAAAAACTGGGCTCAGTCCGGCTTGGGGGGGGGGGAGGTGCAGGGTACCGACTGGTATTCAGTAAGGCTTGTACATCTTGTGAAGACGTGTCAATTCATAGTACAGATAGCTCGCATACATCATTCCGCATAATTAACATGAACCATCGAAAGGAACTAGCGGGAGTCACCTCCCCCAAGCCGAATAGAGTGAAGCTGATATGGCTGAATTATCTCAAAATCTTAAAACGAAGTGATTTTTCCCCAAACAGAACTGCCTCCCAGTGCGAAAGACCTTTTCTGGTAAACATCGAGTTGACGAGAGTCTTGAGTTCGACTGATTGGCGACAAAATGCTGCGGCCAGTGACACTTGATGAATCGGAAGCGGTTCCAGCTGTTCCAGTGAAAATTGGACGACATAAACGAAACATAACGAAAAGGCATAGTGATGAGCAGAGAGGCGAGACGGCAAAAGTCAAAAAAGGCGTACTGAGCCAAAAATAGAATTCCCACTCGGGAAACTGGAAGTAATGGGCAAGTTACGGTAGAAAATGCAATGAAGCGATGAAAAAACTCGGTCGAAACGTTGAAGAGAGCAAAATGGCGAGAAAGTGCAACAAACCTGAGTGAGGATGAATAGATGGACGCCCAGTAGGTGAACTCCAATATGCATCACTATCTGAATGTGTGACACGTCCCCATAGGCTACACGATTCCTTGACAACATCTCAAACAGACACGAATACACCAAACCAATCAGTATGCATAGATACAGCGGTAAAGGGATTACGGTATAGATGAGTAGCACCACCTAAACAAAATTAGTAATAATTACTTGACACGATATTTCTGTGATTTTCACATTTTTGAAGTTTCCCTGTTGGGAGTGACGACAGTATGTACTAGGAAAATTCGGTATACAACATTCTCGAAGACTTAGAGCTCCCATTCTACTGAAGGTTGAACAAAAATATGGGGATCGGTTCATTTTTTCAAGCTAATTGTTATTAGAATTGTGTTGTGTAATTATTATTACAATTTTTTAGGATTCTTCCGCGAAGCGGCTTTTTTGCAATCTTACGCAAAGCGCCCACCCTACCTGTATTGCACACAATAGATCCCGCCCCGTCCCCAGATAACCACGCCCCTTTTTGCCGCAACACAACTTACACTCATATTACACACATTATACACCATACACTGCATATATTCTAGTTTTTCACTTTTTTCATATTACACACATGCAAACTTGAATGCACTTTTATTTCATAGTGCGGTTGACTCCGCCTAAACAAAAAATTCTACCGCGAACAATCTGCTATTCTAATTATTTACAATAACACACATTATTGTTTACAAAATCGGATAGCCTTCCCTTCTGTGGCCCGTTGGGACGCGCTGTAGCCCTTGAAAGGAGAAAATACAATTTATGAGGGCTCGCCATCTGCTCGGAGAACCTCCAGATATGTAGGGAAATTCCTGTCAGAACATGCCACCATTGAATGGGCAAGCGGGGCGGAAAATTGCCTGAAGATTATGTTTTCCGGAAAGCCGCGCTGAGAATAGCATTTTGGCAAGAGCACGTGAACTAACAACTAGTTCAAGAGTAATTTATTCACTCTTCTAGAGCAATTAACAATGAGCACCCCACTTAGAATGAGGGGTATGGTGGAAGTTCAGGTAGGGTGATATGCGGGAACAAAATAGCCAATTTCATTGGTCGGAGCGGCTGCGAAATGTAGGGTTCATTCTGTGTCCTTGGCATAGAGGAACATAAAGGGAGGCACGTGCTGAAAACGAAATGCGGAAATCGGAATACGTAGTTCCGTGTATGCTCCATGTGAACTAAAAACATCCCTTTCAACCTGCTTATAAGCGGAATTCCACGTTCCCACGTAGACGATCCAATTTCCTCAAAAGTAATCAGCTGTGAAAACATAGAAATCACCTAAGCTTTTGCCTTCACCTCTCAAGGTCCCTGCAAAATCGAAATTCATTTATCTCTGCCCATCCCCTATAGGGCAATGATTTCAGCCAGCCGTGATATCGATCCTTTCTTTCGTGACTAACCCAATGCCTCACCCCTTCCTCGCTTATCCGCAACTTATTTTACTCAAACCAGACGACGTCGTATGTTGGAGAATCCCAGCGGTGTGCCGCATTCTGCCCTTGGGGGAGGTTGGGGTCGTGTTTACCTGTGCGAGAAATTTGCGACTTGGGAAAAAACTTTTCCAGTAGTTGACTTTTCGCGATTTTTCCCGTTTCACATGTGCTATATATCTGTCCGCTGGGTGGCAGAGTTTTGAGGAAGAACCAGAAAGTTCCCGGGAAATTTCCGAACAGGGCACATCATTGTCGGGGATTCCCCAACAGGGGTGGGGGCGTATTTCGTCTGCGAAAAAAATTTTTTGATAGTTGGTTTTTCTCGTTTCAAGAACGCTACAAAAGGAGTAGGGTCGTGTTGCTCGCTGTTGGGGGGGGGGGGGGGTCGTATCTGGCTTGTGGTTTCTGAGAGAGGTTGTTGACTTCTCCTGATTTTTCATGCTCCACACGTGCTATTTTCCCTCACTCCCCCCATCGCTCGATAGCTCCATGAGAAGGGAACTAAGGGGTGGGGGTCGTATCAAGCCAACTTTAAGGATTGGGGGGGGCGTACAGGCTCGACCAAAATCCCCAACTAACAATGCGCCCTGTTTCATCATGTTTCAAAGTGGTGAAGTTGTGAAAGTCCAGAAAAATAGCAAGTAGGATGAGGAAGGGGGAGTTGTATCAGAGGGGGGAACCAGAAGAGGGATCGTACTTTCCGAAAATCTTCCCCAACGGCAGGACGTGCCCCGACCCAGGCACCCCCGGACCTTCACACTTTCACGTATCTCCGCAATTGCCACGTTCGAAGTATCTTGTTAATGGTACCCCCTTCATCATTCTAGTCCTAATGACCCCATCACCTTCCCCATTAGATTGTTGCGTACTCCTCTCGACAAGCAGGAAATGCAGGAGCGATATTTGAAAGCGAAAAGTTTTGCTCAATCTGCTTTCGTAGCAGCCGTTCAGTGCTCTCTGGACGCACTAAATGACTCACAACTCATCGATTTTCTTGCAACGAAACTTCATATGAAAACCCTTGAGAATGTTTCGCCTCAAGTGAGTCCTTCCTCCTAATCAGGAAGAGGGCAAACTAAAGTTGTAGTCAATTGGCGAAACTACCTGGAAACTTGTGGCGAGACTGGCAACAGGCGTCATAAACGCTGACTTGGAATCGGACGAGAATATTAGTAGAGTGACTAGACAGATGAGAAAAGTACAGAGAAATGACGTCGGCATGTAGAATCGCTGATACTGAGATGAACAGAGCGTAAAAGAGAGCATTGCCAGACACACCATGATCAAAGCGGCAGCTGTGAGCTGAAAAGAACAAACGTTTTTGTTTCTTCGATTCCTAGTTGCCGCTTTCTCGGTTTTTTTTCGGAGCGCGGAACTTGAGGTTGGGCACCTCGCACTGCACTCTATTCTCTCCCTCTTTCTCTCTTAAAAAAAGCTCAAATCATGTGAGTCGTACCCAGTGCTGAAAGCCCGCCTTGTCGAAAATTGCCAGATAAATTGTCCATGCAACGCATACAAATGAGATGTACACAAGGCCAGAGCGGAAGCGATCCCTGAAATACGAGAGCAGTCAGAGTGTCGAAGTCATTATCTAGAATTCACCACCTCGTTTGCAACGAGCAGTGCTAAAGAAAATGCAAAACAAAGAACGAACCTGAGCTGTGGAAACGAGCATTTCCAATATTGTGCTTCGAGCGATGGCGAACGAAACTGTGGATTCCACCAGCGGGCAGAAGCCCGTTCGAAGAGTGGCACCCGTCTGGGTGAGGAGGAATGGGCCCTAACGGCAGGCCCACCGGAGCCGCCAAGGGCCGGCGTCCGCTCGCCCGGGTCCTCCTCCATCCGACTGCCGGCCGTCGGCTATACGTTGTCGTTGTCGTCGTCACACTCAACCCTCCGATCTCCTGCACACCCTCATCGTTGCCTTGTCGCACTCTCGTCCAGCGCTACTCTCAAGTTTTGTACCTCATCCTCGTTCTCTTCATATCACACCGCTCTCATCAGTCTGCTGCCTCCTCCACTCTAATGAACTGGCCAGTGCTGCTCGGCCATCTCGTTACTCTCTCGTTGCTCACTCAACCTCACCTCACTTCTCGTCGCTCCCTGACCAGTTCAGTTATCCTCTCAATCCTCATCGCCCTTTATGCATCCACCTCGCACTATGTATCCCGACGAACGCTTGTGTTTATTCTGCTTGGCCATCCTCTCTCCTCTCAGCGCTTCCCTCGTTTTTCCTTCCATCCTCCCCTCTCTGCGCATTGGGCAGCTCTCTGAACCTATGGCTAAACCTCGATGCGCTCCATTTCCTTCGAACTCTCTCCCACATCGTAATCACCACCTCCCTCCCCTCGAGGGCAATGAAACGCATTCTCGATGAGCAACTAACTTTGGCAAGCGTCTAGCGGCCACTCTCGGACCACTAAACCTTCGTGATTGCTCGCATCGCCAATCCTCTCGACTCTCAAATGAAAAACCAACCCTTTATGAGGTACTGAAGCGTATAGAAGGCGTTCCTGTTATTTCGTCGAAGCTGCTATTTCTAAAATTAGAAATATTTTCTTTCCAATGACAAAACAACAGCAGAATTGAGAGTAAAACTGCTGCAAACAGAATTAGAAATCGAGCTGAAAATTCATTTTTTTGCGGATAAAATCCAACTAACGTTCTTTTTGCAGGCGCTGTTTTCAGTGCTACTCTCGGATATCAGAAATAGAGGCCTGTATCACAAGCGGTACAGAACACGTGGTGATTTAGTGGATGGAAAATTTGAAGGAAAAACGGACCTGAAACTCGTTTGACGTCGCCGAAAAGGAAAGTACAGGTTTTGGTTGCCAAAAATAGCCACCAAGACTGAAGGGTCTCTGGGGCTGAAAACGATACGTTACCGTACCCTGTAATACTTTTCTTTAACTCGAACATCACGCCAGAGTCATATTCTCTCAACTTTAGTAGATTAAAGGGCCTCTATCTTTACTAAATAAATAAATAATTATTTCAATCACTTATGTTCCATTATACCACAAGTTATCCGAACTGAGAAGAAAAAATATAGGCTTTTGTTACTATTCAATATTTACGAAATGCACCCCTTATTTCTTTCCAAAACATGAGGTGGTGTGGAACAGTGGCAAGTCGTTTACCACGCGCATTGTCGAGGGCTCAAATCGCTGGGTGGATCCACCCCGAGTCAAGTAACCCTTGCAACCGATTAATCGGTTCAGAGCCAGGGAGGATAAGCGCTGGGTTATACATCAGTTGACCCTGCAGGTCGTTGCACAAGTCGTGTCGCCTCAAAAGCACCACTAAGATCCTTGAGGGTAGTGGAATGCGGGGCGCAAACCACGAATACACTAGTCGACGCCGGAATTTCATCCTTTCAGGTTTGGACAGGGTAAAATCGTAGAAACACATGAAATCACCCCTTCGCCAGAGAACTATTCAAACCTCACAGGCCACTAAAAAGGGGAGTTATGGCCCAAGGCGTCGCGAGATCAGGGCACATGGGTTGGAGGAAATTCTCGCGAATAAGACCCCTCTCCCTGAAATCCCCTTCCGTCCTGGTACAACCCCTTCGCGATCCCCAATCCACCATTTTTTTCAAATTTTTCACAAGTTCCTACCACTTTCGCTTTCCCAGGTTGTCCCCAAACTGCAGACGAGTGGACGGTTGGCGGAGAAGGCAGGGCACAACATTAGTTGGGGATTTTGGTGAGGCGTACGATCCCTCCCATCCGGCTCATCATGCCCCTCCTACCATCGACCGATACGAGCCGTATATGAGCGGGCGGGAGAGGGAGAGGGGGGGGGGGAGGGCTGTAAAAAGCACATAGTGAACACAGGAAAAAGCCACGAGAACAAAACGACCACCCTTAATATACAAATATACAACATTTTTCAAAACTTTTCCCCAAAGTTCCATACTTTACTCAATCTAAGAAAACTGCTAGCGACACAGATACGAACCTACACCCCCAGAACAGGCGACACATACAGACTTACCCCCCCGTGAGAAACCCCCATACGGTGATATGCCATGGGAGGGGGTAAGAAATGTGCATATCGCACTAGAAACAGGAAAAACAGAGAAGAGTCAACACCAAAGACGTCTTCTCAGAGGCAAATGCGACCCCACCCCCTTCGCTGGGGACCCACGACGTTAGACGAACCATGCAGGTGTCACTACTTGCTCGTTTCCGAACCACGTGTGATCTTCAAGTGCAGAATCCAAAGAATCCAAAAATAAATTCTAAAGACCTACGCCGTAGCGATTAGGCTAATAATCGCCTCCAGCGGGCGATCTTTGCCCTTTACGGTGTGGTAGCCGACGGGCGGAGCTCTGAGAAAACCACAGAATGCTCTTGTGTTTTCCAGAGCTCAGGGTCTGTAATTGCATTTATGTGGAGCACTGGATCATTCAAAACAACGACGTAATGACAATGAGCACTCGAGCATCAGGGGAACAGAGAGAGCAACGAGGGACTTCACGGAGAAGGAACCTTGGTCACGATCGGCAGCCGTGGAAACAAAAAAGTAGAAATAGTGGACGATCGTCGGCAAAAAAGTAGAAATAGTGGACGATCGTCGGCCACTAGGGCGCCGTCTCCGCCCACAAATTACTAGGCTGTAGTGGCAGGAGGTACAACTCATAGAGCAAAGCTTAAAGTAACTAGTACCGGATGGTCACGATCCCCACAGAGGCCATTGCCTTGTGATAAAGCCGTGTAAAGCTTGTGTTCCATTGGCGTCAATTCGATTGTCTATCCATGGAACACTGCGACCGAAACACTGAAAAATTCATTAAAACTAGCGATAAAAAGGAATAACGGATGAAAGGCTCGACCCAGATTAATACTTTTCGGGATGCCCCGCACATTTGACATCCGTGCAGAGTCATAATGGCGTTCAAATGCAGGTTCGTCACTCAGTGGCCTATGGGGCCACCTGGTGTACAATCTGGTCTTTTTTTCCCAACGTGTCTGGTACAAGTCACCCGGTCCGAAAGCGCTTGGATGGTCTAGGTAAGTAAGGATTCGGCCCCGTTGTCGCCACTACATCACCTGCAAGAGGTCAGAATAACACCCCCCTGTCAATCTGATGGAAAGGATCAGACTCTCTGAAAAAAATGGAAAATGTGGCTCACAAAAGGGACAAAGTGTGCCATTACGTATTTTCCTCTATATCGCGCACTACTGCAGATCAGCCTAAGGGACTCCTATCCTCATCTCCTTCACAACCGCCTTTTTATGCGGCTATGAAGCCCTCTAAACGTCAAAGGAGGAACTAAAAGTTCCCGGACTCTAATTAGTATCATCCCTTTTCTCTATGAAAGCTTAATGGTCAGGTATCAAGAATATGAAGCTACAATTCTGGGAAGCTTTGTTATTTGAGCTTTATATCACATTTTCCCGTAAGACGTCATTCTGCACATTGTGTGCAATATTGCGTCGCGGATTGGCCATTTGCCAAGCGTGTCCGATCGCTTCGACACGAAGGCTCACAAACATTTTATCAAAGTGAATCAATAACCGTGTCGATATAGTATGTATGTGCGTGAGTTGTTGAGTTTGTTTTTCGTTCCAAGCTGAGCTTACTGCAGTAGCAATTCTTTCCATAAGAGGGGACAATATGCTGGAAAACCATTCCGTAGTCAGAATGAGCCATTTTGGGAAATTTCTTCTCTTGTGGGGGAAATTTTGTCATTTTTATGCTCAGATATAACTTATTGATTACGCGGCACTCATGTAAAGTAGGTTGATGGACTCATCCGTTGGCTCTGCAAGCAGTGTTTTTCAAGAAAACTGATGAACAAAGCGCTTTGATTATCGTTCTGGTTCGGGTTCCGTTTCCGGTCCTTTTTATTCATTTCTGTGAATGGGATTAGTTCAATCTCGAGTAACGCTGGTGTGGTTAATGTCACACACAAACTGCTTCAAAAGTTTGGGTATTATGAATTGCTGCCCTCACTTTTTCCTTGTTTTTTTGTTTAATCATTGTTGCTTGTTGCCGTTTTTTTTTGTTGATCCTCATGCAACTGACGATGAATGTTCGATAGAAGTTCGTGGAACCATAGCGGGAACGTCTTAGGATACTTTACAACTGCAAAGCCTTCCTCCTCCTTCCTCTCCTTCTGTTCCTCCCTTCCTTCTCTCTTCCCTCATCCTATTTCCTTCCTCCTCCGAACGCTCGACCAATCGATGCAATGGGAAAATATCCATGGACCGTTAAAGCGAGAGAATGTTTGGTTGACGGAAGCCCTGTAACCTGAATTTGATAACGAAGGCGGATGAAATGCTCTCTGAATTTTTACATGATCTTCCGAATCGTTACTTGGCGACGAATTTTTTTCGTTTTTTCTTGAAGAATACGGTAGATGCTGATACAGAACGATATTTTCTTCTTTCAATGCTCTCTTCTTCTTCGCGTTGTTTTCAGAGCCTCTGTCAGACAGCTCGTTTCCTTTTACAGATTAGAGTAATGGATTTTATTGAACGACAAGCAGAAGAGTCGGACGGGGAAGAATCATCATCAGCAGCATCGTCGGATAATGAACAGCCAAAAGCCAAGAAAAGGAAGATACAAAAGGAGAAGAAAAAGAGTAAACGTGTTGTGGAAAGCGAGTGAGTTTTGATTTGACTGTTTTCAAATTATTGTGCATTAGAAGGGGCTTTTCTTGTAAGGTGTTAGACAGTATTTGACGGAAGGCAGAAATCGTGATCTTTCAGTGACGAGGACGATGAGGAAGAAGATGACGAAGAAGGTGCAGAAGAAATGAAGGGTTTCATCGCTGATGAAGAGGAGGAAGATGTAAGTACAGTAGTACGAATGTTTGCTTTACAGCTATTCCTTTCCAGATCCACTAGAGTTGGTGCTAAAACCCTCGATTAGGCGGTTGAGACAATCGTAATTTATCGTTGTTCGCGCGCGACAACGGGCGCGAAATTTTTCAGTTTGCATTGGAATGTCGATAGGAGCGCCGCATTTCATGAAGACTACTACATCGTTGAACTTCATGGCTGTTCTTGGTATAGTATTGTTTACTGTCGCCATTTACAGGCCTAGAATCATCAACATTTGCCGGCGCGCCGTCGCGCACAACACCGATAAAAGCGGCGAATTGTGATTGTCTCACTTGCCCAAAACTTTGAGAGGAGCACTTGTGGGGCGCAGTTTGTCGACGAGGGGGCATTCTGCTTTCCATAGATGTGCCGACCCATCTAGGTAGCCTTTTCTCGAGTTGACACGTTTTAGGATGGTGGCTAGACGATCTTGCTCCAGCTTCACAAGGGTTCACAAGTTTTACCAGAGTGAGATTTGTAAACCGGAACCTAGGGAAGCAATGGTAGTACAAAATGCCCCCCCGTCGACAAACAGCGCCCCCTTGTTGGTCCTCTGTGCATTTCCTGATTTGATGAGTACTGACGGAGGTCCTTCAGCCCATCGTTTAGGCCTCACTTCCATCACGGTAACTCTAGTTTTGCAAAAAAAAAATCCTTTTAGATGTCTTAAAGGTCACTAGCACCCAATACTTCAACTGCATGAAGTGATTGCTTTGCGTTCATTAAGAGGTCACCTGTAGAATTTTTCATTTCTTTACTTTTTCATTATTTTTTTTCAATTTTTTGAAGCAGTTCTCTGGCCAGCAATCGTATGTTTTTTTTTCAGATTCGTCCTTGAACGTTTATTTCTTTGAAATTTCCTTTTTATGGTTGCAAATTCAGGACGTTGATGACGATAAATCTGAAAAGTCAGAGAAGCTGGAAGACGAAGAAGACGAATTGGACGACGACGATATCGATCTTATTCAAGTATGATGGCCTTGTCATTTATTGTGATGCTTTTTTTATTTTAATCGAACGCTTTAGGAAAACCTTGGAAACAGGAAAGAGAAGAAACAGCGTATCATCCAACCTGATGATTCGGATGAAGACGTCGATGATCGTACAGCTATACAAAAGAAACTTTTTGGAGAAGTTCGTTAAACCGCTTGATCTAATTATTCAATGTTTTAGGCCAGATGTTCGCCGTAGATAAGCCACTTCAATTACATCTGAAGTGCATTCAATTCAGTTCTGCAATCATCGTCATTAATCCCGTCGCTGTTTCCAATTTCTTTTTTTAGAATTTCCAACCGTTGCAGGGAGATGACGGTGAGGGCCCTTCCAGTCCTCGAGATGAACGCAGCGATGAGGGTTCGGAAAGGGATCATTACTCAGACTCAGAGCAAAGCGGTCAGTTTACATTTCCACTCGTTCTGTTTGGCAAATGTTCATCAGTGGAGATGACTCCAACTCTACTGCTGCTAATTGATTGGTGTAAAACCTGGTTCATTGATATGATGTCCATGATGCATAACACTTGACTTTCGGGATATGAGGCCGCGTTCATAGCTTGCGACCATGAAGAAGTGCAGAAATGCGGAATGTGCGGAAATGACGAAAAGCATTATGATGTCACATATCGATTGCAAGAAATGCGGAAACTGCAGAAGTGCGAAAGAGAAGCTGCAAGTATTACATACGTGTCTATTTGAAGAAATGTGGAAACTGCAGAAGTGCGGAATCTGCAGAAATGACGAAAAGCAACCGATACGTATCAATTTTCCGCACTTTCTGCATTTCTGCACTTTTCGCACTTCTGCAGTTTCGGCATTTCATTTCTTCAAATCGTTAGGCATACAATGCTTTTCGTCATTTCCGCAGATCATCATTTCTTCATTTCTGTATTTTTCATGCGTTCGCCAAACTAAAACGCGGCCTAATGCTCTCCAATTCTAACACATGAGCCTCAAGGCCTCTGGGTCTCAACACTTACCTGGATCTATTGCTCTTCCTTTTGTTCTTACTGCTTCGAGGACTGATTCTCAGAGGCACGAGAAATGATGGAGGATATGACGCTCATTATATGTACCAAGAGGTGCTAATCGACACATCTGTGAAGAAAATATCAGAAAAAACAGTGGGGTACCCCTCAAATATGCCCACGTCGGACCCATGATGTCGCACGAGTTTACGACCCATCAAAGGGGAAGGGGGGAGTATTAGTTAGGCCTCGCAGATACCGATTAACTAGAAGTGTGCTGTATTAAGACTGATACTCACCTCGTAGGGTATTCTGCTTCCACCTCGGGCGATTGCTAATAGACAAGGAGAGACATATTGTGGAAAATGTGTTGCAAATTTTCGCCTACTGTGTGCCGGCAACGCAAAATCTGAATTGCACCGTGTCGCGAGACGAGCTCTGGAGTTGTGAGATCGGAACCTGCGTGCCAGAGTTTGTTACCTCCTTGGTACCTCCACATTTCTCCGCTGGCATGACTTTATCCACTGTGGACATGAGCACTTCATGCCAGGACGACGCAAGCTTTCAAGTGATCGTTCACCGCGCGTTTAAGTGTGAAGATTACTCGTTCGTGTGGCTGCCACTAGAAGACAAGAAAGAGCTCTCCTTGGGAGAGGAAACTTGAAGGCAGAGTGTGTAAATGATGGGAGTTTTCTATGTTTGCATCCGCACTCTTTTGTCTACTCGCGTTTAACCAATTTATTTCAAGTCTTCTCGCGCACTCTCATGATGTGAAATACTTG